GCTTACTTTGGATAGAAGTAATAACTTGGATTGTTAAATTCATCAATTGAAGAAAGGGTTGTGGCTGCAGCTCCTTATCTATGAATATAGCCAAACTGCAGCAATCAAAGAGGCACTTATCCCTACTCCCTACTGATATTTCTGCACTCATCTGTCATAACCAGGCCTAACTCACAAATTAGCCTAACCTTATTTAGTGCATTAAATTATAATTAAGCAAGTAAAACGTACCTTTTATCAACATATTTCGTAGAATCCATAATTATTAATCTCTTATTATTCAAGCATTCAGTTAGATGTACAATTTATACACTATCAAATATACAACAGGGTGCTTTTGATTACGAGAATAAAATTTGTATTGAAAGAAAATAAATTCTTGAAACTTATTTATATGAAAATAATTAATTAAATGTGTTTGACTGGTTTACTTTTAACCTAGAAAATATTATACTTATCTATTTTTTATTAGTGGGTAAATGAGAGAGATAATGAATAACTTAAAAAATAAAAAGCACCCTTTTCTAAAGAAAATGGTTTCCTTGTTTTTTAAGAAAATATGATCACATGATCAAAAGTTGAAAAATATTTTTCATGGAAAAAAGATCGATCAAACACTCAAAAAATAGGAATTTGGGTGGAAAATAACATTTTACATTGAAAATAAAGCCAATTTAACACATTATAAAGTTCACGGATAGATGGAAAACGAGATATAACGTGACATGAAATGTGGATTCACTATTTCTCCATACATAACATTGTTTTATATGGTTTAAACAAGTAAATTTTACGACCACATCTTTGAGCATATATGCATATTCATCTCATCAGATTTCTAGTCGAATACCAACCTTAATTTAGTGATGAGAACTAAATGAAAGAACTATGTTTTCACTCTTTTAGGGTAAGAAAAGTTAAGTTCGCTCTGGGTTTTGCGTGTGTAGCACAGTAGCAGTGTGTCTGTGTACACTGTTTACTGCAGTGAAGGCAGCGAAAGGGATATATAAGGTAGGGATCCCAAGAAGGTTCGTATTGTCGCTATATGTGTCAGAAAATGAAACGAGCAATTATAAATGGATCCCAGATACCAGACAGTTCCTCAGTTCTCTTTGCAAGACACACACACACATCCCATCTAGAAATGAAAGGCATTGTTAAAGAAAGACTCGGGGCGGCCTACGCCGGGACATGTGAGCTCGTACTACGAGTCGGGCATAGCGGGAGCCAGCCCAAGTGCGACCGGTGTTAGGCTTTTCCTAGGTCAATGCACCTCTTCTTCGACGGTCCCCATACCCTAGGCCTTCCGGCCCGCTCAACTTACTTTTCTCTTATTGACATTACTTGCTTGTGTAGCTTTTAAATGTTTATAAAAAGTTGGTCATACAAAGTGCAAATAATAAGTTAGTACGTTGTATGTCCATTGCGAATTGATGAGATAAAGATTGGCATGGTCGAATCAAATGCTATCCAACTCATTCGACACTTGAAATATATGAATACATTTGCATCAATTGCACTTGTAATTTGTGACATTTCAATCCTACTTAAGGTGTGCTAATTTAAACCTATAAAATACTCGATTCACTAGCCAGCCCAGGCTAGAATGAAATGCATGGATTATACTACGAGCTCGGCATGGCTAGCCTTTAAATTAAAGGAGCCAGCCCAAGTGGGATCCTTGCTAGTTTTTCCTAGGCATGAGCGATCCAACATACTTTTCTCCAAGTGACAAAGAGCCATTAGCGCTTGGTAAAGGCTTAGCCTTAGTCTTTGCAAAAGAATATGCACTAAAGATTGATGAGATAGAATTAAATGCTCTCCAGCTCATTCAATACTGGAGATCTTCGAAACACGTTTCCACCAAGTGCATTTCGTAATCTCTAACATTATAGCACCACTTAAAGGGACAAGAGTTTGTGTCCGTGGTTTGAATATTTTATGCTTAAGAGGTTGAAATAAAATAATTCATTCATTTGATTCTTTTGCTACCACTTCCCCAATTGATAACACTGTGTCGATATTGTCCCCATTTCATTTTGCTCAATCTAATCTTCATAATGAAACTTCAGTTTTGGGTTTCATAATATAAATAAAACAAAATTTCTGTCTACTAGATCCATCACCATCATCCTTTGTCAACCACTCCATACCAATCATCATCTTAACCAATCCAACAATTAGTGGGACATATGTGTGTGTGTGTGTGAGTGAGAGAGAGAGAGAGAGAGAGAGAGAGTAAATTCTTAAATGCATAAACCTATTAAGAATACTAAATTGTAGAATGGAGGGGGCAAAAAAAGGAAAACCCTTAATATGGTAGTTAGAACTATCCAAAATTTTGTCATTCTTTGAGGGCATCTCCAATGTGAACCCCAAATCATCAAATTGCATCATTTTTGGTGTAAAGTTGTTTCAATACAACACTATACTTTGCACCATTTTGGTGCAAAATGGTGCAAAGTGATGAAAGTCTATTTTCCCCTTTTGTTCTCCCTTTCCAAATAATTGATGAATGGTAGTTGTGTCATTTGTGCTATATATTTTTTAATACAATAAATTATTATTATTATTATTTTCATTTAAAATAAATTTAAATGTAAGAAACAATAATTAATAAATTAATTAAAAGAAGAAAAAAATTAAAATATAATAAACACGATTATTTATAAAAGTTAACACGAAATATATTAAAACAACAACATACATACGATAACCTAATTTTATTTAAACAAAACGATACATGTATGAATTTTCAGAATTAAATTGCAAAAATTTTGTCACTTCGTAATATCGTAATATCCAAATTCGAAATGTAATGTACTATTTTCTGATGGCCTGATTTAATATTTTCGTTGCTGTAGTGTTTTTATTAATTATACTATGTTTTTTATATTTATTAATAAATTTAATCTTTTACGTAATTTAACGTAATAATTTATTTAGTAATTTATATATTTATAAAATAAATAAATTATAAAGAATAAAAAAAGGAAGAAAATGATTAAATATTGTTCATATGGTGTAATGGTTGGAGATAAATTTTAATTTGGTACAAAATTTAGTGCAACGTTAGAGATGGTGAAGAAAATTTCGGAGTCATGACCCTTTGAAAAGAAGGCAAAAACGTGATGTAAAAAGTGATAAAAGCGTGTCATCAATAATGCAATTCTTAGCAGAAAAAGTAAAAGTGCAAGTCCTAGATCGTCCCTACCTATTAACTCCACTCTCTGTCACACACAAATGTACTATAAACTAGCCATTAAGATCTAATAAATGATTCACAATAATATACAACTCTTGCCGCATAAGAAAATAGTCTAATGGGGCGGATGCGAGTGCGAGTGTACGTCCATGTGCGACTATGGTGTTAAGCACCTTTTGTGGTGTTAAGCACCTTTTGTGCTCAATCGTGCAAGCATGCGGGTGTATAGGGCCCAGTGGTGCACACGCATTGTTCGTTGATTAGGACCGTTACTTTTATTTTTATTTTGTGACGTTAATTGAATTTGGGTAGTTCACATTTACTAAAATTAATCATATGATATTAATTAGATCTGATGGATAGATAATAGATTTAGGATCCATTTTGCACGACTTCTAAAATTTGAAAGTACATTTTGATTTTAGAGAAAGTTGGCTCGAAGTGGTTTTCCTGCAAAAAGCATAAACAGATTAGAAACCTTGTCAACTGGACCCTTAAATGCAAAATACAATGTGTATGTTAGTTCACATTTGGTATGGTCGTGTAATTGATATTTTTAAATATAACTAAGCAAGCCTATTTGATGTGGATTAAAATCAGATATTGAGTAGAAATGTATTGTTGAAAGTTGTGAATTTCAATAATGTGAGGTTCAAAAATTAATTAATGTTGACTTTCACTTTAGATTTTAATTTGATTTTAATCCAAATTAGGAGCTAAATAGTCCCAATTTTAGAAAGAAATGAAATTATGAGCATATAAGATTCAAACCGAAAATCAATATGCAGCAGAGGAATGATAGAGTTAATTCCTTGTTTCTGCAAGTTTAGTTCAATTTCTGCAAATTGGATACAAGATTTGATGCTGCAAAAGCAGCAGATCCACTAACTACAGAGAGCAAAGCAATTACAACCTGCAATGCAATCTCCCATGGATAATCTTCGGGCACCAAGTAGACAAACGAAGGACCCAAAATAAGCAAAACCAAGCTCAGGCTCAGAAGAGTCGAAGCAGTTCCCGGGTCGGTAGCAGCTGAAAGGACACCAAATTCCTCTGCTTTAGAAAGGAGGCCAAGTTTCTCAATCGTAGACAAGGATAGCCCAAATTTCTCTACTGCCGATAATAGGCCGGCTTTCTCAGCTTTGGTTAGGAGTCGGAGCTGTTCCACGCGTGTCAACAGCTTCACTGGTGGCATTGATGTTAAGGAGCTCACTCGAGGGCCGGGCTCGCCCAGAGGGAAAACAGTTGTACTCTGCATTGTAACAAGCTTCTTTCTTTTAGCATGAGAAGCTATGATAGGATATAAACAACCAAATGGGAAAAGAAACCAACTGTGGCTCTTTGTCCGACAAGGTTTCAACAAGAGTATTTCTTAGATTTTATGTTTACTCACACAGATATCTCGATTTGTGTATTTATTTTCCCAGTTCTTTCTTATTTGAAGAAAAGATTCGCCAATGTGAATACATGCCAACTTCATAATTACAGAGGATAACACCAGTTTACAATGGGAATACAAAGTAGGAAGCACAATCAAGAACCCCTAAATGGGAAAATCCATTTTCTATATCGCCAGATATTTCAACCACGAATACATGAACTTATGAATTATGACAAAAATTTTATTCTATTTGAAACTTTTTTTCTTTTTTTTTTTTTATGAACATGGGTGTTCGGGCCAGCTCACACGCACCTCGACTAATCCCACAGGACCCTGAACCTTACAGCCGGATACTCACCTCAGTGGTGCTAAGGAGACTCAAACCAGTGAAACTTGAAGTTCATGAAAAATCAATTCGAGTTAAAAATTATCACTTCTAAGTTCAATGTTAAGGCCAATACCTAGCATAATGAAAAAGTACGAAGAAAGAATCATAATATCTATATATATAGAGCATGCATGACGTGTTGCAATGTTGAGAGAAAGATCAACTAAACTTGATGTAGAGCATCTATAAGGTGTTAGAATAGATGTACAACAATTAATATTAAGTTGGACTACTCAAAAGCATTCACTCTTCTTTATATTCAAGATTGTCAAACTTTTGAATTTGAACGGTAACATGGTTTAATGTTTTCTAACAATTCCATGGCTTTAGGTTAGAATTGTAGGCAGTTTGGCAATGGATGTTAATGATGTTAGTAGAGGAAAAAATCTCATCTATTTAATGTTATTTATGTTAATAGAAAAAGGCAGTTAAGCAAATTTTAAGGAAACTTCCACGAAAGGTTGGAATGGCCAACCCGATCCCTACATGACTAACTTGACCCTCTATTCATCTGAGTTGAGTTGACACAAAGTCACAAACACCACTATATATGTTATATTCAACTTGTTCTTCTTTTATTCTTCCTCTCTACCTTCTTTATCTTCATATATACCCAAACATACGCTGCATAAATCAAACTCTATAAATTCATTAATTTCATCCAATCAAATCCACTCCTCGAAAATTGTCTTAGTATTGTCTTTATTATGGTTTTTGTGAGAAAAAAGATGGAAATCTATTAACATTGACTAAAAAAGGTCCCTGGCTACTTTTATCCTTCCTATGGAGTTTAGAGTTACATCTTAAAATGTCAATTTTATCTGTTTATCACAAGCACACATATATGTGCGTGACAGAGGTTCTGATCATAACAATTTTGAGGAAATATCACATTTAATTTATCTCACCAATTTACAAAGGAATTCAAGCTCAATTCTTGGCATCAGAAGCCTCTTTCAATTTATTTTCTTTTCTTTTCCTATGAATACGAAAAATCGCTCAAATTATAGCTCAATGAAGTTCACCAATAAGACGTCGCTTAAATCCCCTAGACTACACTACGACGTTGTACCGTCTCTTCTTCCTCCTCTCCGAAACAAAATCCATAAAACACACTTACAAATTTCGTTTTACTTCAACATGGCAAAAATTACAGCTAAACGACGCCGCTTAATTCCCCTAAACTACACTGCGACGTCGTATTTCTCTTCTTCCTCCCCTCCTACACTAAACCGAGAAAACACGCTCAGTTACATACACAAATTCCATATATACATACAAAATCAGAAAATGCAAGCAGTAAATTGAATATTGGGACTGAAATCATGAACTGACTTTTTTAGAGCCGACGGTTTTGGTAGCTGAAGGAATTGGCTTTTGCTGTGCCGCCATGAATTGAACCTTAAGGGGGGAATATGGTGCAGAAGAGAATGTCAATGGATTTGCGACGCTCTTCATAATCGTCATCTATGCTCAAATCACACTGGATTTTTGAGAAAACACACAGTACTGTAGTATCAATTTTGAGTGGACGGGAAAAAATTGCTCATAGAATTTGAAGAAATTATTATTATGCTGTACACGTGGCATCATCTGATTTTCTGATCCTTTTCTATTGTCCACCAAATATTCTACGACTAGGGAAAGCGTTCCGTGTTGTACTCATAGTACGTGCTAGGGTTGTAAGTAAAAATCGTAAAATCGAAAATCGAATTGAAATCGCATTTTAGAAATCGTCGGTTTGGTGCCACGTGGACCCGGTCAACGAAATGATTTTGACCCAAACCAAACCTGTCAAAATAGTTTGATTTAGATTTGAGAATTTAAATTGCGGTTTAAAATCAAATCGGACCGGCGAAAAAATATATAAAAATGAAAAAATGAAATTTTTTGAAAATTCATCCAAATATGTAAAATTCAATAGTTTTGTCATTTGTGGGTATTTTTGTCAATTCTAATTTTCTAATACAGATATATTATTATTATTATTATTATTATTATTATTATTATTATTATTATTATTATTATCCAATAATCCTAATATATATGTAATAATTTCAAGACTAACATAATTTATCAAAATCATTTTTCCTCTTCAAAATTTAGATGACCTCCAGTCGACACTTAACACTGTTTTGAGCTACCGGCACCACACACTTCTTTTTCAGATTTTTCACACCTCTTCAAAGTTGAATTGAAATCCATTATACCAAATCGGAGACAAAGAGATCATAAACCTTCGGTGATAATATTTGCTACAAATAAAGTTTCAGATCAATAATTTTTTGGAACGAACTAAGGTAAGAATTTGAAATTATATATGTTTCGTAACATCATACAAATGTAAATTTGTGTAATTGTTATGTTTAGATATTATAAACAATTGCTTTATTATTATGATTGGTTATTCTCTTTGTTTAATCAGTATCATTTTTTCATATATGATGATCACGATGTTTTGTTGGACATAATTATATTTTTTGGACCTTATATCTAATTTAGTAGACTTGTATTGTAACGTTATTGTATCGTCATTAGCCTAAAAAAGGTGAACACAAATGAAAAAAAAAACTATGTTTTAGTTTATTGTGATTTCACTTTAATTTAGTTGATATTTAAATTTATAATAAATATATTTAGCCCCTGCTTAAGCCATATTTTTCATATCATCATAATGAGAAAATTTACTATTGGAGAGGAGGCTGAGTCCCACACATGAAATAGCAGGTAACAAAGGCGGTTGGACTTGTGGAATAACGGTCCAAATTTTCATTTTTTTTGTCCCAAAAATTTGGTTCAAATAGGGGCTTAGTTTGTTTTAAATTTATTACTAGTGAGATATAAATATATACTAAATTCAATGAATTAATAACATAAAAGTAGACGGGCAAAAAAAATATGACGAAACCGACGATTTAAAATCGGACCAAACCGTTAGGTTTAGGTTTGAGTTTTTTTCAAACCGTTCAAAATGGTTTGGTTTATGTTTGAATTTTTCTCAAACCGTTTTAAACGGTTTGGTTTGAAAATCTGTCAAAAATCGGTAAAATCAAACCGCTTACACCCCTACTACGTGGTATATATGTGAGGATATACATCAAATCATTAACAGTCATAAATATAGATTATATTAGTGAAGGTTTGCAAATAGCATTATTTTAAAATACTTCGTCCCGACATGTCGCATATTGTCCCAACTACAACGAGGGCGAGAAATCCTCGAATTCTCCGAACTTGTAAAAATTATTATATTTTTTTTAAATTTAATTTTATAATCCTATACCGTTTCTTGAAAATTCCTGACGAAACGGAATTCTAATGGTCGCCTTCTCCCTCCACCTCCAACCCATCTCATCCCATTCCGTCCCATTATCCTTTCTAATCTCTTGTATGAGCCCTATTTTTTGGGGGGTGGGGGGGGGGAACATTCTTCAATAGTGTTTTGACATCATTTCAATCACATATTTTTCAATAAAATAATATTACACGCAAATCTATTTTTTTTTAACCACACATTTTTAATCAATATACTATTTAAAAATACATTTTTCTATCAAAATATGGCTCAAACAAGGCTAAATCTTACATTTAAATCAAAAAATTGAATGTCTACGTATGAAAAATCTCATATGTGACTTAAAGCTGAATAGCAAAACCTGATGTCAAACTTTAATCGCATAAAATATCAACTTTTCACACAAACGGTGTGAGATAAATTGAGATTTTATAACCTCGCTTTCAAAGGTTTGAAACCCAAAACTACTGTACTAGAAAGATTGAACCCCTGTTAGCCTCCATTTTTTGGTAAAGAAATGAATGGAATGGTGTTTTTTTTTTTTTAAATAAATTGTTAAGAAAGAAGGAAAATTTTTCGATTTACGTATATTATTATTTTAAGGAAAACTGTGTAGTTGAAAATTAAAGTATATCATGAGGAATGGGTTAGTTGCATTGAATATTTTATTAAAATATACCAATTAGTTTTATAAATTGATATAATAATAATATATATTGTCATTATTTATTTATTTAGTGGAATATTAGGGATTAGAGAGCAAGTGAAAATATAGGCACGAGTACAAAGTACTACAATTAAAGCAAATATTAGGACCTTAAATGTAATTAAGCGCTCGTCTGGCCCCTTCATACTCTCATTATTATGAGAATTTAATTTTGAAATAATAATTTGTTGAAAAATGTGTAGTTAAAAATGAAGAAAAAGTTTTGGATTTATATATAATATTATTTTATTTGAAGAAGGTATAATTGATAAAAAGAGGAAAATATTATTTGGTTTAATTACAATAGTATTAGTGAATCTTATAGTGTTGAGTTGGGTGACAATTAGTTAAAGAATAATGCTGTTTGCAGTCACTCATTGTGACAGTCGTTCTACGTGGCATACACATGGCAAGTGGTTATTTAATGCATTAATGAATAAAAAAGCTACCACGTTAATATATCAAATAATCACCTGTCATATGTATGCCACGTAGGACGACTACAGCAATAAAGAACTACGAATAGCATTACTCTTAGTTAAAAGTGGTTTTTCCTTATTTGGAAGTTTGCTTTTGAGTGGTTATATAAGTATAGAAGCAGTTGCAATCAACTTTCGAAGTTTAGGCTAAATTTTACGTTATGAGTACCAGTAATTATTACGAAAAGTAATACGTTGGTGGTCCAAACGAAATTGCCAACTGTACTACTAGCAATGAATTTCAATACACATTGGTCAACAATAATTGAAGAAGAATATCACTATCACAAGAACGTTCTTTTGGGAATTTACTTATTATGCACAATGTAAAAAAACGAGTTTCAATTTTCATTAGAATTCATCTTTGTATTTAGATATGAATTGTAATAAAAAATGTACATTTTCTTGGATTTGCAAACTCATTTGCTTTATCTTTGTTCCAACAATTTGAATCTGCCTCCCATAGTTGTTCAATTGTCCAACTTTCAATGAATTTCACACAGAGAATAAATTGCAGCCACTAAGGTTTTCTAATATTGTGCTAGCAAGAGTTATCAAAAATCTCTACGAATAAAAAACCCTAGCCATGTATTTATATAAGCTCAAACAAGTTTGGTCTGACCTGATCCAACATTTAATTAATCTATTTAATTAAATCTGGTCCATGCCTATAAATAACCAACTCAATTAATTAATTTATTCAACGATTGTTAAATTAATTAATTAACAAATTATAATCTTCCACTTTTGTGTGCGACCCATCAGGTTTCCGATCACGATGCCTAACGACATGAAATATTATTTTGATCTAATCAAAATTGATAAATTAAAAGGGTTAATTTATCACCAATTTACACTCGCCGTCCCAGATTGGCATATAGCATTGTGTCAGGACAATAATGTGACGACAAATATCACGTGGTATGACAAAACCAAATTTATTCGTTGACCATGAAACTATAATTCATTTGTCAATATGATCCGATCAATTACGAGATATGAAAATGTGTCAATCTCGATTATCGATCACATCTTTCATTCTACTATTAAGTCAATATGAGTCAAAAATTCTTTTTCGACTTATGAGTATACCTTGGTCAAGAATTTCGTTATCGACTTAATTGAACGAAATGCAGATCACAATCTCTTACTATCTAAGAGTGACGAATCCTCTATTAGTCATTCACAACATTCATATGGTTTTTAACATACTCGAACAATGCCGTATTAGCAACCCTTGGCAGAGCAACATCCAACACCGTCAAAGCATGGTTGTCCTCGTACAAGGCACTATGACGACCTCAAGTCAAAAGACCAATTCCATTACCGAACGTTAGAGATTAACCACTGACACTTATATAGTTATCTATGTGGAATCTATTAGCGGGTTTCCAATATTTCGTTCTATAACAAAACATTCACGCGTTCATTAAAGTGACACCACACTTTAGCTTGTGAGATCAGCTACTTACTTTACAAGTAAAAAATGCCACACGTGATGGTCTATCCATTATAACGATATTCATATCGTTATTATTCATATCGTTATTACTTACGACCATGGATTATTCAAGATCCAATCATATATAATTTGCATCTCACAATTATAACTTCTTGTAATTAACAAATTACTTAAACTTGAATCTTTGGACTCTATTATTTAATATTATTTATCAAAATATTAATTTAAATAAATAATAAATCTTGCCAAAAATAAATGCATTAAACATATTAAAAATATTTACAATCTAAATCGATTGGATTTAGGGCATAACACTTACACGTTCAAGGTCTCTCAACTCGAATGATTTATAAATGATTCCAACTTGATCTTATATAGCTACACTTCCTTTGAATGGATGGTGAATATCTATTCAATCGTGTGTAGCACTTTCAAATTCATTTTTTAAAAATAAGTTAAGGTACAAGTGTTGCCAACACTTGAGCCCCTATGTGTCGACGCCTATGAACAAGTTTACAAAAATTAAATGAATAAAGCCACTTAGTCATACTTAAAAACAGGGAAGAAGGAGACAGACTGATTTGGCAACAAACAATTTGAATTTTTTGTT